TGCGTCATTGACTTGGGATCTCATACATACTATCCAATCCTCTCGCCCGGCCTCGAGTCGTGATTGTGTTTGATAGCAGGCCGTGAGGTAAGACATATTTTCTTTCATTCTCCTGCCTCTTTTCCAGTGCAGGTCATCTAGATGATAGAGTTTGAGTCGTGATCTAGAAGCTGACGTGATCGATGACCTCTGCTTGAACAGACAAGAACACCGCGTTTGAGGGCTGCAATGGCACTTTGACTTGGAATAGTCTAAGCCGGAGCTGTCGTGATGCGATCTCAAGTGATATACATAGCTCCGATGAGCTCCAAAAGAGTCAAGGTTTACCTGACGCCACATGCCTGGCTAGTTGCCTAGTGATTCGTCCGTACCTGGCCACCAGGTTGAGCCGTCTTGGCAGGGAGAGAAGCGTGTATCTTCTACGCACACCTCATTAGCACGTGTTCTCGAGACAATTTGTAAGCTTCAGGTTAGAGGAAAAGAAAGTCTCCGCTCGCGTCTTAGCTGCATGACCTGGAGAGCATGATACTTGGCAGCCTTCCGGAGACAGCAGGCCTTTTCACGATTAAATTCGCTAGGATACGCGATTCCAACGGTCAACTCAACAAATTTCGAAGCTATTCCTCTTGCTTCATATGCTCACAAGACCTTTCCTGCAGAAAGACGAGTTCAAACACGGTAGATGATTGATCCCGATTTCAGCGGAACGGCCTATCCGACGGCCGGCCGAAGGCCGTGAGTCGGAGTGGGGCCGAAGACAAAGGATGGTGGATACCACCGTTGGCCAACGGCGCACGACGCTAGTTGAGGTGGTTTGCGGCCTCCGGAGTACCTTACGTTGGCTCCTGGCGAGTCTCGGGAGAAAAAGCAATGAGGACATGCTTATCTAGCCCCGACGTGCAGGGGTTCGTAGCTTGGCGGCAGTTTTCCACCAATCTATCATCCGTCATATCCAATGAGCTGTTGGAGGGCCGAGTCTGCAGGGTTGACCTGACAAGGGAGGGGGGACAAAATCAAAAGTTGTCCCCCCCCCCCTTGTCTGACATGTCGGAGCCGGCATGTCACACATCAGAGTGAGCCGAAGGCGATCTCGGGAATTGTTGTGTCTGCCAATTCTCTTGCATGAGTTACGCCTCTACGGCTGCAACGGGCGGAGAGGCTCCTGGAAGCCGCGTGTCCTGCACAGAAGTAGCCCATCGCCCGGGCCATAGGTGCTGCCCAGCGAGTCCCAGCGTCCATTCAACACCCTGGCTGCGAGGCTCTGTTGAGCTCTACCATCACAGTACAACCGTGACTGAGTTTATTCAACGCGTCAGGAGTTCTGGAGCAGGCAACAAGAAGATCAGCTCGGCGGGATGACGCCGGCACGGACAATGTGGTCGAAGCGCCAAGTAGCCTCGGAAGGCGTCACAGATCCGACATTCTAAGTCTCGTTCGCTGTATAGTGAGCGGACGGCGTAGAAGAAAACGGCACTGCCGGCTTGGCAGGTCAGACTCCTCCTGAATACTCCTTAAAGAGTATTGCGCAGCCTACTGATTCATAATGATCTGACTATTGGGGTAGACAGGCCGTCTCCATGTTGCTGCGTTAATCTCATATTCGTGAGAACATGTGTGATGTACTTGGACGTCGTTCAATTAAGCTCGCTTCGGCTCACGCCAATCCTGAGTCTTTCATAAGCAGCAGAAAGCGCATTCGGTACCGACTACATCGGAGGTGTTTGGGCGGCTCCTGGCACAGAGGACAAGAGAGGACCCCCTTCGAATGTCGAGATACGAGAACTTGATCGAACTAGCTACCTTGCTGTTGGTGACGGGTAATGGCTTCCGTGTGCCGGGACTGGGATCGAGACGTTGGGTCTCTTGTATCCCTGTTGGCGTGCATATTGGGACTGAGGGAGTATGTGAGAGCTGACGAGTCTGACACCCTTGTCCGCACAGGCGGACCTCGCATTGCATATTCCAGCAGAAAGTCTTTGAAGGTCCGTACGGATAGAAGGGAAATTGGCGTCAGCTCCATCCTCTGGATCTTCTTGGACCCGTGTCCGTCGCGGCTGCCGCTGCCGCTGGTGTGGTGTGGTGCATGTGGGCGGTCCAGAGAAACCAGCACGGGTAAGGCTTCCTAGTGCCCGGGATCTGTACAATACGCTACACGGAATGGGTGGAACGGGAATAGGAGCTGCTCATCGTGCCACGCCCCGTCCAGTTCTCAATAGGCTACAAGGAACACCCGCCAGCGTATGTTTACTGGCCAAATTTGGGAGATCTGTTTGGATCTTAAGGTAACATGTATGGGTACGGAACCGTAGTTGACAGACCAAAGCTAAGGTAAGGTAACGTAGGTAGGTGACGCTAGCATGGGTGACGTGCTGGATGTTCTAGAAAGCCCCAGACGACCCAGATCCAGCAAGATACCGTCTGTCAATACTTTGGTTCGCTCAAGACCCAACGCCCCCTGTCTGTTACTTGCAAGTGACATGAAGACCCTAGCCGCCTACCTGGCTAAGAAGACACCCCCACTGGCGTTGACGGTGCCTGTGCCAAGTTTCCCAATATATCCTGGTTGTCAGATGACGGCGTGTGCGGTGGACTCTATACTTCAAAAGAGATTCACTTGAGTTCGCTTTGACCTGCCGTGGATACATGAGAAGCCCATAGTCGGACAATGTATCACGTTTCCTGCAAGGCACCCCGAGGAGCAGACACTCATGTAAATTCTCGATGTCGGAACCCCCTCGACTTCACTATGCTGGCGCCTGTTTAGGTTTGGTTCATCTAGATAGCAAAACATGGACTAATTACTCCGTAAGCTACAAATTATCAGTTTGGTCTTTGGATGACCCCCGCCAGGTCAAGCAAGCTGTCTCGCCGCTGGAGGCAGAGTATGCAAGTATCCGCGGGAACCCGTTTGTGTGCGGTGGTGAATGGAGACTAAGTTAGTGCCGTCTGTGTGTCCGTGCCGTTGCCGTTGGGAAAATCGTGGATATAGGAGCACCGTTGACCAGTGGCGGGTCAATCTTTCCACGCCCCAGCCTGTCGATTCCGATTCCCTACCAGTACACCCGCACTGGAAATGCTCCGTACGGTAGGTGAGTATGACCAAGCTCAAAGGCAAGGGGCGCTTACGATTATGTTTTTGGTTAGTTAAACCTCTTCCTATCTCACAGTATGAAAGTATCTCTCTATGAGGTACTAATTCTTTCACCAGTCTCATGGGCACGCGGTTTGATGAGTGGGAGAACAAAATGAGGGGGTGATCGGGGAGCACCAAACGCCGAACGAAGGGCTGGATGGGTTGTGCTACTCAATGGCGAACCCAGGTAGACTTGGCCATCTTGCTACCAGAAGACGAAACTCGGTCGAGCCACAGAGAGAACTGATCAGCATACGCCCAAGAAAGTTTGAGGCCGTGCGACGAAGAGCGGTCTCTACGAAGTGCATCACCAAGGTCGAAAAAGTACCTTGCAGATTGGCAGTCAATCCCATTTCAGCAACCGGAAGGGGCTTGATAATCTGGCGTGCTTGGAAGGACAAGGAGCGGAGAGTCAAGATTTTGCGAGAACATAATTTGGAGGGGCTTGGCAACGCAACACCCATTGTGGCCCGTAGCTGCGGGATAGACTTCCATTGCGCAGATCATTTCCAGACGAGCAGAAAAAGAAAAGTCAGGTCCCGCGACGATGGAATTGTGCACACAAGCAAGTGACGCGGTTCCCTCGAGTTGGAAAAGCGATCGCTTCCAGGTCGAAAAACCGGGGGGGGGGGGGAGGGGAGGGAAGAGAGAGGTTATTTCAGCCGTTCATTCAACGTGCCCATTTCATCCAACGGCTCCGTTTCGACACCCCAGAGGGGTCCTCTCTCACCCCAGTCACTCCCTTCCCCGGTCTCTCTTCCACTCCCACCGCATCCCAAGGCCGCCGCGCTAGTCGCTCCTCGACGCGGCGCGTCAGCGCGGGGAGTTTGCAGACACCCCAATCTCTCTCCTAGGTAACCGATATGTCTCTCACCGAAGCCTCTTCTTCCCTTCTTCCCTTCTCTTTTCCAATCCCTTGTTCCGTACTTACTTGCCCCTACCCTAGAGTGCCGAGTCATTCCTTCTCTTCTCTAACCCCACTCCCTTCACCTCTTGTCTTTCACCCCAAGGTGTCAAAGACGAAGTTGCATCTCGTCCGCTGTAGAGCTTGATTTGCATTTACGTCGGAGGATCTGCCTTCGTAGTTATCTGCATTGGCTCGGAGCCGACGCAAATTTGACACGCCACAAGATGCGAGTCAACAAGGATTGGGTGGTGCCGCGCACCCGAGGAACCAAGGGGCGAGGCCCTGTCGGGCTTCCATTACTGCTGTCATGATACCTGGCCCAGGACCTGGTCGGATTTGGAGATACTCTGGAACAAGTTGTGATTTGCGCTAAGTTCTAGTTGCTCGGATTGATCTGGTGCCAGGCAGATTAAACCCACCATCACGTCAAGCAGCGTGCCCACCAGTCTTCTCAATTACCATTGGAAGACCAAGGTATCCACAGAGTGTATCCGTAGAGTGTATCCGTAGAGACGAGCTTTTAATCCCCAGAATTTACAGCCACGTAGATCTTAGGATTGCCGGGGGCCCAGCTGATGGGAGGTACTCACATCCACACGACGTCGTCGCGTCTGTAATTTACGCTTTGATCAGGGGGAACAACCTTTGGAAGATTGGGTGTGATGAAAAAGAAAAGCGAATCCCAAGTCGTAGCATGGCCGTTCCGCGCGGAGCAGGCCCAGGGCCTTGTTATCTTGTATTCGAGCAACGACTCACCACAACAGCCCGATCCCAACTCAAGTCGCTGCTTAATCTCAGCTCAGTCTTCTCGGAGGCATAGAGAAACAAACATATAAATCAGCAGGGCCCTTCGTCTGAGGTTAGCTGAAAGCAGTTCATCGACACTCAGTCATCTTCAGACTCTCTATCACTTTGCTTTGAGCTCGCCTCCGTGTCCACCAAAAGACTCTCCAAGCCAACATGTCGCAACGAAGCTCTCAAGAATGCTCCGATCAGAGGTGCCGATGGCAGCCCAGCGCAGGTTGTAGCCTCCGTCGCCATATCTTCTACCATCACGGACCGCCAGGCCGGGCGCCCTGCGGAAGATATCATATCAACACTGGCCACTACCTTGAACGCCACAAGGAGTCCTGCGTCGATTGCAAGAGCATGAGAGCAGCTGCAGAAGCCCTCATGCCTTCCGTTGAACATGACGGCGGTGACGATCCCGAGGGCGCTCCTGAGGGCAACCACCGAGCTCTCTCCGTCCACAATGGCGGGATCATCATTCATGGCTCAAACTACGGAAAGATCTCCCTGAAAATCAAATGCGGTTCTCTGGCCTGCGCTGGCGGCCAGACGAGCTAGATTCTTCGTCATGTCGACAAACACGTCAAGCACGACACCACGACTAGAAATAGATTCTAGCAAGAACGCACGATAACAGAATATTGGTAGACTGGCCTTCGAGACTGGTCAGAACTGGAGGGTGAATTTCAGAAATTTGGATAACAGGGCGATACAAGGGTGGTCAGGTTACGAGGGCAGCGATGGAGTTGCTTGGATTCAATGCCGATTTTGGTCTTCTTCACTTCACTTGGAGGAACTTATCCTAGACTAGAATAAACCTTTTTCAAGCACATTGCAACTCACAGAGACCTCGTCACAGCTCCGCATATCTAAGGTAACTGTAGCCTACGCTCTAAGCTAGCATGGTAAATTTGGGACCCCGACTTGCCGCATCCCCTCGTCAGTTAATTGAGTACAAAAAGCTGGCCCTGCTTGGCAGCATGTCAGTGCTCTAGGAAATTTGATGCTCAATTGGACTTTTAAGACGAAAACGGAATAGCTGGTCTGGCTTTGGGAGTCCGTGTGGGTGGGTAGGTGTGAGTTGGTGTTGAGTCCGCAGCTTGGGGGCGAGATTGGAATACGCGAGACAGGGTACAGACTGACCGAACTGACGAGATGTGCAAAATTTGAAACCGAGAATATTACCACGGATCAATACTTTGAGCCATTGTCAGAGGTTGGTATTCTAATATCCTGCTGCACAGGCCTGGGTTGGCCTCCGGGTAGCCCACCCGGTCTGGCCCTGTGCTGGAACCCACACACCCTCGGGAAGGATGAGGGAAGCCATCCATCATATTAATTGCATTAGCCGGAGGCTTCAGAGACTATTGGTGGTTGCCTTTTGTCGCCTTGTCGAGACACGGGGTTGAGTAAGGGTTTTCCGCTACTCATGAAGCGGTACTGGAGGAGGTTCACCCTCCTTCCAAGCCTACGCTTCCGTCAGCTGTCACAAGAATCACCACGGAAACCGAAAACAGAAATATGACAAGCTTTGCGTGGGACTAAGAGAGCCTTCTATTTGCTTTTGAGGCCAAGGTCGCGATCGATACCAGGGGTTCCGCTGCACATACACACACACTTACACACACACAGTTGCATCGCTTCTACTGTCTTGAGTCTAGGACAAGGAGATGATGGGTGCCGAAATCCTTCAGCTGCATGGGTTCTGAGTAGAAGAAGCAAAGGGAAGCAAAATTTGAGATGCAACTTTGTTCCAGAGACGCGCCGGTGGATAATGATGGATGGCGGAGGACGCCCCGCTGGAGACGTAGACACGAATAGGTTTGGGACACTGTACTAGATTTGCCACACTTGACTGATATTCCTCATTATCATGGCTTGCATTTCAACGGGTTTCTTCACTTCGTACCACTCAAGTTTCTTCCTCCTGCGAGTTGAGTTGGCAGCGGCCGCTGGCGGACCAAAGTGCAGGACACCGACCCCCTCCCCCTTTTTTCTGACCCCCAGGACCAGCAGAGCATTATGAGCCCATATAGAACCGAATCGAATAGAAAAGAAAATCATACTGTTAGGAAGCTAACCCGCCTCGTCGAACCGCTTGATGCATGGCTGTCGCATCTGGCAGGCACACCTCGCGAGGGCCTCCTCGAACGCCAACCTGGTCAACAACGGGGAGCGCGGGATCGGCATTCCGGCCGCGACGTGAGTGTGAGCTTGATGTGTTCCTCCAAGAGAATCCTTTTACTCATGAACATGAGTTCTAACCTCAACTTCTTCGTGGAAGGGTTTGCAATAAATAATTTGGCGGTGCAATCGTGCCCCTGTCGACGGGGTGCAAGTGCGCGGCCGAGTGTCCAGGACTCGACCACACCAGCGTCGACCACACCGCCTTCACCCACGCCCGGTGCAGAACAGCAGAGTACTTTTATTGAAACTATTGGCGAGTTTGGAGCTGAAAGTCAAGTGACCGACTTAGGCACACTCAAGGGGGCTCTTCACGCACAACGTGGCAGGGCACCAGGCCTGGTGGAGGATGTTCATGACGTTCGCGCCAAGTGGAAAAATTAAGCGCCGTCAGCCACTCGATCAGGAAACAGGAGTCTGTGATCATTGGGAGCGTTCGGGTCACGACCGCTTCTTGCGTTCGCAGAAACGGTCTCTCGCATGCGGCCGGTTTGGCAGTTGGTTGGTTCGAGGTTACATTGGGAGCACTCGCAGTGAACCAAGTCGACCAAAGTAGGATACACAGCCCGATTAATCTGCCTTGCCAAAAAAGTTCCTCTGATGGGATGAAATCTTGTCATGTAGGAAGCTGACGTACGGCTGGATGCCTGGCTGCCTCGCATCGTCTCGACACTGAAATTTTCTCCTGGCAATAAACGGCTGCCCTCAAGTTGTCATTCCTGGTGCTTCCCTCTTGATGGCACCTTGGCCTCTGCAATTTTGTCGAAACTCCGAGGTTGGTATTCACTAGTCTTTCGTTTTCGATGTTCTAACTGTCTTGATTTGGATCAGACTTTGCTGTAACTCAAGCCTCTGTTCAGGACTACGGTAAGCCTACGGAAAATACTCTTTTCGAGCGGATACGGAAGGTAGACGTATTGACTTTCATTCTTGACCTCGATTGCTTGACCTCGATTGACGACAACCGAGAGATCTGTGCTGACATTTTCTCATGATTAGACCAAGAACCCCCGTTTGTTACCTTTCTCGATCGATGAAGCCAATACCGAACTTGAGTTCCCAAAATCACATACTAACCGAGGAAGCAAAGTCGTCATGTCCCACCGAAGGCCGAGCGAGACGGTTCTACTTATGCTCTTATACCCCTCGCGTCTTTTTGGAAGATGTCTCTGCCTAGTCCGGTAATGTTCAGCGAGCTCTCCTCCCCTTTTGAGTAGACGGTGTGTCTACCGACTCCTAGTCATAGTAGCATTTCCTTGCTCCTTCACTCAGACCACGAGATGCAATGGTTTTGCCTTGAGCCCGATCCTTGATCTTTCAATCCAAGCACGAGAGAACGCCTTGAGCTCGTCGGCCCGGTTCAGAGACTCGAATTCCAGAAACGAGGATGTGGCGACTGCAGGAGCATGGCGAGGAGAGAGGAGCAAACAATAACCGCACCTTCCCGACGCTCTAGATGGGCACACATGTTGGCAGTTACCCGTCTCAGGTAAGAAGCTTCCTACTAGGACGGCATCAGGGGTACGTCTGACTACCTCGTGGTCTCCCGTCTTCTTGCAACAAGGAGGGCCTATGTCTTGTGAGCCTTCAGGCAAGATATTGTTACTACGCGAAAAGAAAGGTTCTAGCCGGTGACACGGGACACACATCACATTGGCACTTGACAATGAATAGAATGGCGAAGCCGGATGTCTTGCTGAGCATCTCATGATACTAATCTGATAACCAGGATTGACGTGACGTGATGCCCTCACGGTGCCACGGCTGGGAGCAACGCGGTGCTGGAGTGATGATTATTGAGGGAGGTACGAGTAAAATATCATGACACATACCAATTAGGGATTCCCGTTGATGTGCACTGCTACGTGAGGTAGGAAGAAGGGGATCAGCAAGTCGTCATGTCTACGTGCACTGCCTCTCGTACCTCTGATCCCGCAACGTTCTGCACCGACAGTTTCAGTCACGCATCCAGATGGAGCTCACGATCTGCTTCCATCACACATGTCCATAGACGCGAGAAAACAGACACCGTTGTTTACAGCTTTGTGCTCAGAAGTTTTCCATTATATGGGAGGTCAATAGGGGCCAGTGCCAAATCCCAAAAGGTTGTGATTAGCAATGGCAGGTTCACCGTACAGTACCTTAAGGAGCGAATAATACACCATCTCCGGGCCAAGTAAGACCGCATGATGCCATCCCGAGCGGCCATGGGAGCGTCATGCAAGCTCTTGTGGTGCTCTAAACGCCCGCAATGCCGTCGACGCTCCTGAACAGCAGCCGGTGAGCACGAAACGGGTGGTCGAACACCACGTGTTCGTCTCTCAACCCTCCAAAATGATGGATTATTTCTCCAAGGCGGAGCGAGATCCGCAACTGGGGTATGTCAGAAGATGGTCCGCTTGGAGAAGCCGGCATGATGGCAAGCCGGAAAGGGCCTTTCCTACGCCCCGAGCGGGCACCCACCATGCCTGTATGCATGTCGGCAGCTCCAAGGCTTTGAGTCATAGACTGCATACATGGAGTCAGCGCATGATTCTCTCGTAGGGGTTGGGAGCTCGTGGCAACATTCGCAGCTAAGACTACTTAACCCATGCGTTTCCCTCTACCAAGTTACTAAGTATGTGGATAGCATCGGATTCTGTAATCTCCCTTCGCACACAACCTCAATGTTGCCTTGCTCCAACATGCATGGCAGGATGCAGGTGACAAGGGGGGGAGTTCTCCCCCATGATTGGGGTTTCGATGCTTGGGAGGCCAGAAATGCGGCCGCTCTCACACCGCAGTGGGAATATGTGCAGTAAATCGCTTCCTCGGTCATTAGGGTTCAGATTATAGCAGATTGATTACCGATAGATTCACCTTCAATCTCGCGTGCTTTACTAGTTGACATGAAGCTATTCCAGCCAGAGTTGGTAGTATTTCGACCCCAATGACACCCATTGCTGGCCGTAGGCGTAGGCAACTGCCCACTATAGGTCGGAGTTTCTGAGGGTCGCAGGGTCTGGCTCATGTTTTTAGGGCCCGAGAAACAATGTGAGCGATAAAAGCTACAAAGCTCTGGAGGAACCGCCGCGGAGAGTCGTCCGAGATGGTCAGCTCTCAAAGAACAGCCCAGCATTCAGCCCCCAGGTTGCATTCTCATTGAAATCCCTGGCTACCTGCAGACCCTCATCTTGCTCAAGGGAACAAATTTGCCCCCCGGGGATGGTTACCGGCATAATAATTCCCAGTCTGCCTTCGGCCATTCGCCAATCCCTGGATGCCCTGGTTAGCCAAGTACAGCCACCTGGTCTCATGTAACTCCTGTCTATCCGACCCATGACACTGCGTAATGCAATAGTATCCTTCAGAACGCGTGAGGCAACCGCGTCGGTAGAAGTGGTAGCGTTCATGGGTAGATAACGCGCTCATGGAGCGATATCACGTGGCCGATGGACCACCTCGTCGCCCACAGCCCTCTCACATTGTCGGAATAGTCTTTAAAAAGAGAAAGAGCGGTGTCTGCGACGACCAAGTATAAATAGGAGTAAAAGATCCCTCTCGCTCTCTCTTCATGTGTTCTCTTAGCTGCTATCGAAATTTTCTCTCCCGACCCCTGATCGCGCACTGCTGAGTCCCTCTTCTCTCAACACCAAATTCCTTGGCACCTCGAAGCGAAGATGTTTACCACCCAGCAGCCCTCCATTAAGTGTTGCTCTCAATCCGGCTGCTACTGGGATCAGAAGTTGGATACCGATACCCATCGTACGCACATGCAGAAGCATGGTGAAGGGGACTTGGTCGAACACTGCAACATCGTCATGAAGAGTGGGATCGACATCGAGATTCATAAGAAGAACTGTTGCATCTATAAAGCTGCCATGGCTCTTGAGAGACAGAAGAAGGCTACCAAGTCCGCGCCTGTGAAGTCTAAATAGGTGAGATCATACCCTTGAAAGTAAACCAAAACGCAAGGCTCAAATTATGTGCAAAGACATCAAAAGTCTGCCGACAATATGGAGACAACAAAGAGACGGATATGTTCTAAGAGACGAGGAAAGTAGGAAATTTCATCAGAGAGATGTGGGAGAATGTAGTAAGAAAGACAAGGCAAAAGTTTGAACAAACGAAAAGGTTTCAGGAGTTTGATTGCATTCTGGGCATGCCACAAGGCTTGTATCTCGTTCTCAAGGATCCTAGGTAGATACACACAGTACCAATTGATTTTTGGGAGCTCCTCCCAACTCTCTTCTCTGAATGACGTACACAAGATACGACTATTCATAAAGCCGACTGGTTCCATTTGACCTGATAATGTGCTTGAAGTACTTAATCTTCGACGAGTTGAAGGTTCTTTTACGACTACTTACCGCCTTGTTAAACTGCCAGCTCTATTCATCTACGATTGACATATCACGCAGTGACCCGGGAGGGATCAAGACATAATTCACTTGAGAAGGTTTAGGTAAGAAAGAGTCTATTAACCTAGAAGTGATGCCCTCAACTCTCTCGTCTTACAGCGAAACATGCGCAGGCTCTACGTGGGCGAACGATTCAATAGAGAATGTCGTTTCAGGGAGGTCTTGACTACCCACCTATGCTTCGTCACCTTGATCCGATTCGTCTTCCGACCAGCCTTTCTAATGATCTTCATCGTCCTCCTCAAAATATACCGTAGCAAAGTCCACCAGGTCACAGCCCATTTCGCCAACAGTATCGAAAAGAATCTGTTCCGGTATGACCGTCGGAAGCCATGCATAGTACTCCGTTTCAAACAAAGCGAATCCAAAGCTGAGTACGTGTAGTGGCGCGTCCTGAGGAAGTCGCAAACCTTGGTCGGGAACTAGCTTGATCGAGGTCCCAGAAAAGATGCTGTCCAGGCCACCTCTGCCGTCGGGGAGAAGGACGTTGTGTGCCCAAGCACGAACCATGCACCTTTGAATTTCTCCCACGTCTTCATGAGAAATTCCGAGCGTCGCTTCTGATGCGTTGTCCTGAGCCTCCGGGATCAAGTTGTTCACACGATGGTCGATCCTTCTTGCACGGGAACTGATTTTGCGGCATGTATTGGATGAAAGAGTAAGCGTCCCATCCTCAAATTTGATAAAACCCTTGTCAGTATGCCACTCCTCTTCGTATTGGCGGAAGATAGCCAAAGCCAACCACATGGCGCCACTCTTGATAACATCGCTTGGCACGTCTATGCAATGCCGCTGCAATAGCCCGTTGATGGAATCTTCGTCAGCAAAGTGATCGGGTGAAATGATGAAGAAGGGATTTAAAGCGTGGCACGTGAGCACGATAGCCGCAATGTCGATCATCGCGGACCGGGCCGTGGCGGGCGTGTCCTCTGTTATGCAGCTCAGAAAGCAGGCTACTGACAAGTCGTTTCCCGTGGTTGATAAGAAGTCAAGAGTCCTCCGGGCCTGGGAAATGTTGAGATGTACACTGACTCCATCCATGCCGTAGTAGATGAGCCCCAACACATAAAGCCGACGGATAGCCTCAGCGAATGCCGGCTCCTTGACAACGAAGCAAACACGGAGACGATCGATAGTAATTTCAGGACATTCATCCATCATATAGATGATGAATACCGGAAGGTGAATATCTTCGAATTCCCTTTTAGGTTCCGCGTCGAGGATGTCCTGTAGTGCCACTTGGGCGTGGATGGTTCTATCCGCCTGCTCAACATCCTTATCCAAGGCGCAAGTTATTTGAGTCAGCATCTGGGCCCTCGACATCGCCACCCGTTTCTGAACCACATGCGATGTCTCTGTGTCGAATACCTCCTTTATCTCGCTATTGAGAATAATCAAATGGTACGAGTTCTTGGCATCATTCAACGATCTTCCCATCAAACCGGGGGTGATATAGATTGATCTGGTATCTTTCTCGTTAGCGAAGTACTTCCGAGCGGCCGCTAGAAGCGTTTGTCTCAGATGATGCCGCTTCCACTCGGAGTCTCCGTCCCAGAAGGCTATCGTTCTCGTTATCTTGTATTCCGACGGCCCCGGGTCCTGAACCATCGCATACGCTGGAGCAATAGCTTCCATCACAGCGTCTGGGTATTCCCCGTCGCTCGCTTTGTATTGAATCCATCTCAAATTTGACAAATTTGACGAATTGATCCGCTGTGTCAATCGAAAAGCTGTGACGGGAGTCTCTGATCTGTTGGTTGCAACGGCGAGCATCCTGCCTAAATCTTTGTCAACGGGGGCAGATGACAACCAGACGAAGCGCAAAATAGTCGTCTCTTCGGTCTTCGCGAGAATGCTTCACTTGACCAACGAGATCGCATAGTCGACGCTCTTGGAGTGATCGGCGTCAATGATGATCAGCTTGTATCTGCAATTAAAGTCCGAGACGAATCCGATACCACCGTATCTTGATACCACGGGTCTCATTCCCACGGAATATCCAGCGCTGTCCCATTCGCTTTTTGACACCTCTTCTTTTTGGAGCGAACCGACGAGGTACCTGGACAAGACACCATTATCTCCGCTCGCCCTCATGCCTATGATATGCAAGACCAAGGCCAACCAACTACCGTCGTCGGTCGAGGGAGGTGATTGCACGTGAGCGACCGAATATCTTTCATCGCTCCCATACCATCTCGAGACCTTGTCGATCTCGTTCTTCCATTCAGCCGGTATTTCAAGGCTCGGCGTCGCCATTTTTTCGTCGTGTTTCGATAGTCTGGCGGTCTGGCGTTCTGGTGTTCTGGGATGTACTAATTGAGGCACGTTAATGGAGTGACGTGGTAAGCCAGGGATTTGGAGCAAGGTGCCTATCTAACGTTTGGAAGCGAAATGATCCATCCAGTATAACAGATACTTGCTTTTTCCCAAATTGGAAGGAACTCGACGGAAAGCTGAGCACCTGGACCGGCCCATGGAGGTGAGTACCTTCTCTCTGGGCATCTCACTCGATGGAAGGACATGAGGGCCTGGACTCCCTGCTCTGGGCTGGACAGAGGAAGACAACTCAATAAATACCTTACCTCCTTCCATCATCGGCTCTCCAAGGTAGCAGACGTGTCTATAATGTACCGGCCATCACTTGAGTTGACGGAAAGTGTGCGTTGCATGTAAATAGGCACGCAGCGCTAAGTAATTAGCTTTTGCGAGGGACGCAAGTTAGCGCAACGTTGACTGCACTGATGTTCATCGGATCGGCCCGTTCATCTTGAGCTTATTTCCCAACGGCTGTGCATAACGGAGTACCTTACTTGGACCTTGTCAGCATCAAGACATGCTCAGTCTCGTCACATCACGCCACAAATGATTCTGTAAAAGCGTGTTGCATTTGACATAATTGTTGTCGATTCCAGTGGTAGCAGGAGGAGTTGACTCGTGTTGACCCCGTATCACAGTCCCGTCACCTTATAATGTAGTGAATCTCAATAGATGGGCCTGTGTTCAGAGGGTTGTCAGTATGTTTGATTGAACGTGGGAGGGATGCTTCCTGATGGAAATGGGCTGCGTGGGGAGGGGCTCTCAGGTAAGCCAGATAGGGCATTGTTCTATTCTGCATGCTAGTGAGTCTTCTGTACCTGGCAAGATTGCTCTTCCTATTCCAGGTATTCGAGGTGGTCACCTCGCCTAAAGAGTCCTGTTCCCATCCTGAACAGTCTACTTCTCTTGGAGAGACTGAATCTTCTCTTGGAGAGCCTCTTCCTCATACTGGAGGGTTCTCTCACTCTCTTGGAGGGCTCTCCTTCTCCCTTGAAGAGCCTCAAGGGCAAGTGTTCTCTCTCGGAGAGCCTCCTTCTTCTGCTTGCGAGCCTTCTTCTTCTGCTTGCGAGCCTCCTTCTTCTGCTTGCGAGCCTCCTTCTCCTCCTTGCGAGCCTTCTCCTCCTGACGAGCCTTCTCCTCCTGACGAGCTTTCTCTTGAATAGTCTGCTCTGATCTCATATTGCTTTCGAATGCCTCTATGTAACGGTCGGAGGCCAACCGCGGGGTGTCGATGCTCGTTGGGCTCGTTGCGCTCTCTGCGATGATCTTGACTTTCTCGGCTCCAGCGTAATGGATTTTATCCCAGATATATCCAATTTGACGCTCAACACCCTGTGCATCCGTCGCCCAGATCTCGAGTTCGAAGCGAGATTCAAACTCACTGCAGGAGGCTTGATGGTCGAACTCGATGGTCCGAGGACGGAAACCACGCCAAGACACGCCGAGTGAACTGCCGTCGTCCTCACTGGCTTGACTATCTTCGTTTCCATCATCCAGTCTCCGCTTCTTCGTCGCTTGGCTGCCTTGGGAGTCCATGACTTCTTCTGAGAGGATGTGGGTATGCGTGTGCGCGTGTGCGCGTGTGCGCGTGTGCTGGTGTGCTGGTGTGCAGTTGCAGAAGTGAGGAGATGTAAGGTTGTGTGAAAGATTCTGAGGGAAGGCGGATGATTATTGTAGGGGAGGCAGGAGCGTGGGCCGAATCGGCCTGTCTTTCCGAATTTTGTACGCGATTTGAGGCAGTCAGACAGGCATATCTAATCAGAGTGACTAGGTTCCTTCCCGTCTCTATCACCTTACTGCGCTTGCCTAGAAGAATACTTCCGCCGTCATGCACTTTCCTGGGTCCTTGGCTTGACTTCCCAAAAGATCATGATTCACCTCATTCTCTAGGAAACGAACTCTTCATATTTTCACGGCACCTTCAAGCCGGAATTTTGTGAGCATTTGGCTAACAGCTTGATTTGACCAGGCACTTCGAGACGAACCCAAGACTATACTACAATAACATTCACACGAGCCAAATTCATCACCCTCGCATAAACGGCACCCTGGTCTCCCTGACGATGAGACGTCGCCCTCGCAATAGCGATAAAGTTCCCCGTCGTGTTGTAGACAATCGTGTGCTCAATCGTCACCGTCTGGTTCGGCGTAAATGCGGGCCCTACGTCAGTAAAGGTGCCCTCCGAAGTCAGATCCCACTCGACATTGACAACCTTGCCAGTCCCGGAAGGTGTTTCGACAGTTGCTCGTAACGTCACCGACTGGCCGGCTTTCACCGTACAGCTGCATCTTCCATTCGCAAGAAGCTCAACAACCGGTTGGATACCTCGCCGTTCGGTCGCTTTAGGTGGCACCTGGACCGAGTTGTCGTCGGCCGAAACAGTATACGACGTGGTATCTGGCGCAGGCACTCTATCCTCGACCCAAGCTGCCACGTCTCGGAGAGCTTGTTGGTAGATGCCGTTGTACGGCACAATGAGTGCAAGACGGTGTGGAGGCCTTTTCTCGTAAAAGTGCTCCGCATTGTCGTTGTACCAAAGGCGATAATTATCCTCGAAGCGATCTTCCAGTTGCTGCTTAACTTGCGAACGATACCAGTCGGCATGCCACGGAAACGCGTCGCTGTCCAGCAGGTTCTGAACGACGATGAGTTTGCATCCGATGGTGCCAGTGTGATTACCGCCAGAGACGGATCTGGCGAGGGACTTGGACGTGTCAGGGGTCCGTTGGGGGTAGTTCGTGCCATTGACGGTCCGGAACTGGTCGAATCCGTAGAATCCTACTCGTTCCGGGATTTGGTGTCTGTAATAGGAGTGCATTGCAACAGAGGACTTGTTGTCGATGTGGACTTTGACTCCCTTTGCAATAAACTTTGTAAGAGTGGCATCGTTGGCGTCGGCAGTGTAGTCGGTGAACAACATGGTGTAGTTGGCCGTAGACAACGTGCCGCTGATGGTTCTTAATTTGGAGTCGTCGGCTCCAAGCAAAACCAGGTCGTACCCGTATACGTCAGCAACAGCTTCCGGGACTGTGTCGAGTCTGATGCTGACCAGCTTTCCATCGTTGTCAAGCTGAACATCCTCTACCGTCGCATTGAAGTCAACTACGGCCTCTCTCATGGCGATTCCGAGCGCACTATCCACCGTTCCGAGGTAGCCCGGCTTGGACCAGAAATCTTCGACGTATGTAGGGTCCGAAGGCTGGATAATGGTATTCCGCAGGATGTTCAGATGTGAACTGTCAGCGACCTCATCATACTGTTCCCAGGCACGGATGGGGACACCAAGCTTTGTGGCTTCAATCAGCATGCTTCGCTCGAGCTCCGTCATTGATGGTATTGAGAGAGGATTTCCACTACCCCCGGGCTTAATGGAATCCTGAATCTCGGTCTTCCTGTTCCGTAGAACTAAACCCGCCATTGCCCTGATCGATGGGCTGTTGGGGGCGGAAATCGGCACGGCTTGGACCATCGCCACAGCGCCGTCCCAGACGCCGACTGTATTCTCAATACCCCCAATAACTTGATTAGAGCCACCGCTGCCGCCGTAAACGTAGCCATAGATATGCTGAGTGCTTGTGAGACGATAATATCGCGCCGCAACAATCCGGGAATACCTTGCTGCTGCTGCTTCGGCACGGAACCCGTTTGACCCCGTGACTTGGACCGTATAGGCCTTGCTGTCTAGCCCGAACCCAATGGTTTCCTCAGTGGCATTCGCGGGCTGCGTAGGGTAGGCGAGTTGGAAGAAACGACCGCCCCAGGCATCTTTTGGCGGAAAGTAGAAGTTGAAGCGAGTGGACGTGTTAGAAAAGTGCCCCGCAACGTGGTGATGGGGACCTGGGGAGATCTCGTCGGCCTCGCTGTCAATCACCGGCTTGCTGTAGAGAGGATCTATGCAAGCTGGAGAGACCAGAGCAAAGCCATTAGAACCATGAGGAGATTCGCGTGGAGTTGTGGGGTTTGCCGCGATCGCTGAACAGACAAGTAAGCTCAGTGCGACGAAGGCTGTAAGCGAAGCTTGTAGATGCATCGAGTGGTTCGACGATGTCTCTCAATCTGTGTTCTACTGAAAGACTTTGGGCACTGGGCAAGGACCTTGCCGTTGAAAGGAGCAGAAGACTTAATGGAAGTAAAGAGTGTGGGTGAATGCCATATAGTGTCCAGGGCGGGAAGCATCTTTGCGGTGAAAATGCCATTCTTAAGCATCCAGAGAGCAGCATCGCCAAGCCGAGTATCTCCTATGTGACCCCTTAGATCATTTCAATGGGCATCGCCAAGTTTGCGGGCCTCCGTATGGACATCGTTTGCTTGCACAGCGCTTCCCTCAGCTCAGCGGCTCCGATCATTTTTCGTATCTGATACGACAATCATTCCGACGTCGCACTGGATACCTGTGCCTCGTATCCAACCCATAGCACTCTAGCCGACGCCGGTTCTCTGTCCTCGGTGGATTTAGATGTAGGGATAGAACGCTGCCATGTTTTGCTGCTGGTTCATGCGGCATGACCTAGAGCCGTTCTGGCGAATGGCCTTCTCATCAAGGCGTGTGTCTGAGGATCCGAATTTCCAGTACCAAGGGGTTGTTGCTCCGCCGTCGACAAGCCAGACAGCTCAGGCGCTCACTTTGTAGACGTGATCCATCATAGTCTCGTTGAGACTTTTCAAGAGATCAGCAAGGGCCATTTTACTGGTCTCGACGTCGCCGTTTCCGTAGTTTCAAAAGAGCTGCGTTCACTTTGTGACTTCAGAGTTGAGATTGGCTGAACTTTAAAGACCGCCCGAATCGGATAAAAGTCATCTCCGCTGCCACGGATATGTCAGCTGCCGGCTGAATGCCCGCCACTACTCTGCGCTTCCAGCTCTTAGACGCCTGCAGACATTCTTCAGGTTACCTTCATACCAACATCGGAATCTTCTTGACATGCTTTCTTCGAGGCATTGTTAGGGTCATATTGAGAAACGACTATTTCGAAAGACTAGGGAACCTCTGCTTGTTCGCCTCGTCGACTGCCTTGCGTACACCCGTAACATTCTGAAGCACCGTGGGATGATCAGAATGCACGCAGATGCTGAATGGCTTTCCCTCAAAGCCAAAGCTAAAGATACCGCCACTGTTATCCTTGCCTTCGTCCTTCAGTGATGCAGACAAAGCCCTCTCGTAGCATAATTCTGGTGTAGCCACCTTGGACTGTGCCACCGGTATGAGCTTGCCCTCTGGAGAGTAATCAATGTCGACGTAGACCTCCCCTTGGAACGGGATGCCCAGCTCCTTGCACATAGCTTCTTGTGTCGCGTTTTGCGATGCGTAGACTGGGATGTTGTCCCCAAACGTGGCGCAAGCTTCCAACACAGCTCTCATGATGGTCTCGTCTCTTTGCATGTAGAAGAAGAGCTCCCCGTGCGGCTTGATATGGGATAACTCGACGCCTTCCGAATTGAGTATGGCTTTGAGGGCGCCGACCTGGTACAGCACCATGGCATACATGTCTTTGGGGTCAATCTCGATCTTTCTGCGACCGAAGCCGAACATATCTTGCAGTCCCGGGTGCGCTCCGGCCTTGACGCCGTGCTTCTTGCACAGGCGAACTGTCTTGAGCATGATAGAAGGGTCGCCAGCATGGTATCCGCACGCAATATTGGCGGCGTCGATGTACGGCATCAGTTCCTCGTCCGGGCCCATCTTCCAGCGGCCGAAGCCTTCACCCATGTCGGCGTTGATCTCGTATTTGCGCGCCAGTCCTGAAGCCATTTTGAAGTGTTGGGATAACGGGCGATGTCCGGGGAGGTTTGACCGTCGAAAGACAGTCTGACGTAACGAGAGAGGATGGAGTAAGCGTGATGGAGGCATCTTGTCTTTGCTGCCTCAATGTCGTCTAATAAGAGCGCTTCAACGATCGAAGTGAGAGGTGGATGATACTCTACTGTTGGGGTAGACGTTTGGGGTCCATTACTCCAAAGGTCCGTCTTGGGGTATGCTGGATCAGGCGGTCCTTATCACTAAACTCCGCCGACAGGGGTTCTTGATAGTAGGGGGTGCCCATTGTGACCCCATCAATTGGTACGATGCGGGGTCGTTACTGCATCTGCCATCCACACACACCCTTTGAGGTACAGACCAACGACGTCAACTGAGCAAAGAGGTCAATCATCTTACCAGAAACCTACCACAGCCTACCGGGACCTCCACCCGACAAACCTTCATGCGCTTCGCCGATGATCCCTTATCTCGACCCGGTACTCCGGCAATGCTACTGGATGCGTTCCCCTCTCCTGGGACTCTAGCTGTTGGGGTAACGACATGAGAGGCATTCAGGGTAGCCACCGGCCTGGTGTGGGCGCGTCTTGCCTTCGAATCACTAATATGCGGATGAACGGAATGGGCTGATTGATATACTGGGGGTCACGAACCCAACTTCGTACGGTCTAACCCTCCATGTGCCCTCTAACCGCGTCCAAATTGTCGCTGACTTGTTCAAAGCCTCAACGAAGCTATGCATTCCAGGCCACTTCGTAGCATTAAGAAGGTCCTGGTGGCCAATCGTGGCGAGATTGCTGTTCGCTGCATCAAGGCCTGCCGTGAGCTCGATGTCCACAGCATTGCCATCTATACGGCCGCCGACACAACATCACTACATGCGTTGTTAGCTGACGAGGCGATCGCACTGCGGGGTAACGACACCTACACAGATGGGTGAGTGACGCCGAGTTGGCCGTAGCATCATGCTTCTAACAATCACATCAGAGACGCCATTCTAGAAATCTGCAAAAGCTGCGGCGCCGACGCTGTGTTCCCCGGATATGGCTTCCTCAGCGAGAACGCCGACTTTGCCGATGCCGTCACGACTGCAGGCAAGATCTTCATGGGTCCTTTATCCGCTTCTATTAAGGCCATGGGTCTGAAGCATGAAGCGAGAGCCATTGCTGAGGCCGTAAAAGTCCCCGTCATCCCCGGTACTTCGTTAATTCCATCAACCCACGAGGCCATAGATGGGGCCAAGAAGCTTGGTTTTCCGGTCATGCTCAAAGCCACCGGAGGAGGCGGCGGTATGGGCCTGCAGATATGCTACGACGACGATGATATCCCAAAAGCATTCGCCACAGTCGAGAGTCGCGCGGGCGCTCTATTCAAGAACAGCGGCGTCTTTCTGGAAAAGTATTATCCTCGGTCCCGACACGTAGAGGTGCAAGTCTTTGGAAACGGCGAGCAAGTTGTTGCATTCGGGGAGAGGGAATGTTCTCTCCAACGACGTCACCAGAAAGTGGTTGAAGAGTGCCCCAGTCCATTCGTTGCGCGAAGGCCAGGTCTTCGTGAGAAGATGCTCCAGGCGGCAGTCGACTACGCCTCACAACTCAAGTACAAGAGTGCCGGCACTGTCGAATTCTTGGTCGACGATGAAACGGCCGATTTCTTTTTCCTCGAGATGAACACGCGTCTCCAGGTCGAACACGGCATCACAGAAATGTGCTATGGGGTTGATCTGGTTCACTTGATGCTGCAGCAAGCCGACTACGAGCACGGCGGCCAGCTCGGCATCCCCTCGGACGAGCTACGAAGCATCCCACAAGCACAGCCGAACGGTGCGGCCATCGAGGTCCGAGTATATGCTGAAGTGCCCTTGCTCGACTTTGCTCCTAGCCCGGGCCTTCTACAGCATGTCAGCTGGCCCAAGGGCGATGGTATCCGGGTGGACACATGGGTGAAGAGCGGCCAGCAAATCACACCCCTCTACGACCCTTTGGTCGCAAAAGTCATGGCACACAGCAATGACGGTCGAGCTGAGGCGCAGAAGATGATGCTCGCCGCTCTTGACCAAACTGTTTTGCAAGGTACACAGACGAACTTGCAGTACCTTTTGCAGGTGCTACGTTCTAATGAGTTCACCAAGGGCGATACGCTCACCTCTTTCCTACCCATTTTCAAGGCAAAAGTGTGCGCCGTACAAGTACTCAACCCTGGTGTATTCACTACGGTTCAGGATTACCCTGGGAGGCCAACGATCGGGCACGGCGTGCCTCCCGGCGGACCAATGGATGATTTGAGCAGTCGGACAGCAAACATTCTCGTTGGTAACGACGCTCAAGTCGAGGTACTCGAAATAGCAATGTCTGGCCCGGAACTCCTTTTCCATGAATCGGCCGTGGTGGCCGTGTGTGGTGCCCAAGTTTCCGTCAGTGTTGACGGCAGGCACCAACCGATGTGGTCCCGAATCCTCGTGCAACAGGGGCAGACGCTCAAGATTGGCAACGTCACAGGTGACGGCCTTCGGACCTACCTCGCAGTCAAAGGAGGCTTCCCAGACATACCTCTTTATCTCGGCTCCAAATCAACAGCGCCAGAGCTCGCGTTCGGCGGTCTTCAGGGCCGTAAGCTGCAGATCAACGATATTCTCGCCCTTGCCCCTGAAACAGCAAGTTGGGCAGCGGCAGCCACTCCCTTTTCTTTACCACGAAAGGCAATCCCTGATTACGGGCACTCGGAGATATTCTGCCTTAATGGTCCGTATGGCTCGGAAGACATATTGACCCCCGAGGGTATGGCAACAATCACCAACTCCAAATGGACCGTCAGCCACAATAGTAGTCGCAGTGGCATTCGACTAGAGGGTCCACGACTAAAGTGGGCACGCACCACCGGCGGGGGAGGCGGATCTCATCCATCAAACGTCTTCGACTACGGGTATCCCAACGGCGGTGTCAACTGGACCGGGGAGTTTCCCATCATCTTTTCCCGCGACCGCCCGGATCTCGGTGGGTTTGCTTGCGCGGTCACCATCTGCTCAGCCGAGATGTGGAAAGTTGGTCAGCTGAAGTCGGGCGACAGCGTTCAGTTGCGACTGGTTTCCTTTGAGGATGCCATGAAGATCAAACACACAAACGAGGCCTACTTGAGGTCTTTGGGTGCTCTGGTGGATGGTAATGATACAGAAATTGTGCCACTCAAGCTGGAGTTCGGCTCACGGACCACAAGTTCAATATTGCACCTGGCCGAACCGAATGGAGATCATCCTCGCGTCACTTACAGGCAAGGTGGCGACACTTCCATCATAGTAGAATATGGTGAACAAGTTGCGGATCTGCGCAACACGGTCTGCGTTCATATTCTCGAGGGGAAGCTTGCGGCGCGCAACCTTGCGAGCGTGCGTTGTGAGCCGAACCTCGCTACGCTCACAGTGCACTACGACCCGCTCCAGGTCTCCCAATCCGAGCTGTTGCAAAGCCTGATTGAGCAAGACGAGAGTATCGAAGAGATTGTTGGCATCAAAGTGCCCGTTCGCGAAGTCAACCTGCCGCTTTATGTTGACCACTCCACCATCACAGAAGCGACGGAAAGATATATGGAGAGCGTTCGGCCCACTGCTGCCTACCTACCAGACAACGTCGAGTATCTGCGGAAGAATAACGCATTGGAGACTCGCCGCGATGTATTTGACTCACTGCTCAAGACACCCTGGCTCACAGTTGCAGTCGGCTTCTTCCTCGGAACCCCTGTCATGTTTCCGCTCGACCCCAAGTACGTGTTCACGGGGCAGAAATACAACCCTAACCGCGCGTACACTCCGAGCGGCTCAGTCGCACTCGGTGGGTCTCTGCTTGTCGTTTATCCCGTGGCCTCACCGGGCGGCTACCAACTCATGGGCCGCACGTTGGGTACGTGGGATATGATGGGTACTCGAGCCGGCTTTTCCCCGACGCGACCTTGGTTGTTCAACAATTTCGATATCGTTAGATTCCACGAGGTCTCCAAGGAAGAATTTGACCAAGTAGAACGAGACTTTGAAGCCGGTAGATATGTGTTCAACATTTCCGATGAGACCATCAGCATGGACGAGTACATTGCCAAGTTTGACGCCGCAGCCCGCGATCCCGCACATCGAGAATGGCGGCAGCGTCAGGACGCCGCTGCCAAGGAAATGGGAGAGCTCGAACAGCGGCTCTTCGGTGAATGGACTGCCGCCAAGGATGCGGCTCTGTTGGAACAGAGTGAAGGGGTCGGGGGCGATGCATCAGCAGATGCTGTGGCTATCGAGTCGCCCATGAACGCCAACGTTTGGAAAGTTCTGGTAGAAGTCGGGGACGTCCTTGAGGCGAAGCAGACGGTGGCGATCTTGGAAGCGATGAAGATGGAAATCAAGGTGATTGTTCCAGACTCTCATGTCGGAGCAGTCGTGACGAAGATTACACGCCCGCCAGGGACTGTCGTCAGTCCTGGGATGCCAATAATAGTGGGCAAGAAGGCTGCTTAGCCTAAGGTAGTAAGTATGCTGAGTTGCGACGATCCTGAGCTGCTGAATATTACGCTGTCAATGACCAAACGGAGGCTCCTTTTCTTTATCGTGACTTATGACTGCCGAGTGTAATGTGACTCCATTCATCTTGGCATGGGGTGATGAATTGAGCCAGACCCGACGGCCCGCCGAGGGTTGTGACCCACTTTCCCGGAGCTGACCGACTGCCGCTACCGGACTCTAGGCCCCGCTTGAGGTTGAGCAAATAAGAGAGCATTGAATAGGTTGAATGAGGAAACTCGTCACCCGTGTTCTCCCTTTTCTTCTGCACCGTAGATAAGTGCACCATTTTTGCGTCGTGGATCCGGGAGCACCCTGGCACCACCCCCCGCAGAAGCTATCTTCCCCATTGGAAGTATGTGTCCGTAAAGCTGTCGGCCCGGCGGGGAAAATTTGGGTTCCGGGTTAGGTTGCACATCTCAGAGGGCTCCGAAAGGGCCCTTACATTTCATCTCGAAGCGGAGAGCATTTGAGTGGCCGGCTGGAAAGGATGGGTCATGCGTCAACCAGGAAGCTGAAAAGTCTACCGCCGTGTACGAAATGGTCGGATCTCGATGCTCCCTTGGTTGTGCTCAAGCGATCTAGGTCGATAAAACTATGAGGTGATAGAGAGAAGATGGCGAGAACCCGATGTACTGCCGACCCCAGGCATCCCCAACAACATCAATGGGTGCAGATTGAGACACGTCGTGTGACCGGGTAATCTACGTCCAACTTCATTCACGCTGCCGCTTCTGCACATGCTAGTCGACAACTTACAAGGCAAGGTCAATAATGCGGGTCAAGCCGGGAGATCATAACGTCTGGTCCATGGGTTGTAGGGCTGAGCCGATGTTGATGGCCGATAGTCACTTGGTGAGGAAGGCCGAGATCCGCACTACACAAGTTACAGCTGCACGGACTGAGGTGGCAGCCACCTGTCGCGGCGTGGTGGCCGACAACCGCCCACCATAGACATTGCCGGCCGTTGAAGAAAGCGCGCAGCTGCTCAGGTTTGTATAAGTGGCTTTCAAACTCTCGATCCGGACCACCTTGGAATCCGGGATGGTTTCTGGATTTGCCAGGTATCAATATTCGCCTCTTCTATTGCGTCAAAGGGATACCTTACACTCAAACACGCAGCGACGATCAGCACCTGCACCTTGCGTCTTTGACTCCTGCCTTTTGTCTCTCCTCCACAGGGCCTCAAGCCAGGGCCCGCTTCCCCGAACTGATTTCGGTCCCGAATTCGGTCTCCACTTGACAAACATTTGACACTTCCATTGCCTTGGAAGGCGAGGCTTACACTTCCATTACGGATACATCAGCCAACCAACCACCAAACACGCGAATAAGGAAACCTGGGTGCAAGCCACCAACGACGACCTCATCCCTACCCGCATTCGTCCCACGACAATCCAACACTAACAAAGACGGCACGTAGCACACAAGTCGACGCCTCAGCCACCGCGGGCAGCTCAAGATTTGGTCCAATTGGCTTTTCAATTGGCTACCTCAACCCCCTGCTTGTGTGGAGGGGTCCAGGGCTCCCAGACAGTCCAGACTCCAGGACGTTCAGGCACCTCTTGACGGGTTCAACCCACCGTATCCGTGCGCCGCAGCTCTTTCCTTGCTGCCTCCCGGTCGATGGTTTGGGGGTGGCCAGAGGTCACAAACATTCTGCTCTCCTGGTCCTCGCTACCAACGGGATACTAATACGCCCTCTGGCACCTTCTTTGTCGCCGACCAAGCGTCTTCTTTCCCTCCTGCAACCACCCATCGACTTCCCACGCTTTGCTAGAGGCCAAAGATTGAGACAGGCACTGAGAGAGAAACAGAATATCGACAGCATTCCACAATCGAGTGATAACGAATCCCGGGGAGCCCACGGCAATCGGCCGCAATTACCAAACCTGAAGAATAGATCTTCGACATGCAATCCTCGCTGTCGCCCGAAGTCCCACCTCCCCCGGGGAGCACATACAGCACACACAGCAACGGGTCCCCGAACCCTCTGGCAATGGTGCCCGACTCCGAGTCACCAGCCGACCGCGACTCGCCAAACGCATCCTCCTCGGCGACCAGTGATTCTCGATCCCAAGGACAACAGCCTCCCGTCGTAGCGGTCCCCGCTGCATGTCTCGCATGCGTAAGTCGCCCCTCCATGTCAGCTTAGGTCCCCCGTCGTCGTCTCTCACTGCTCCCCATTGGCTCCGGTGGAGACGGTGACGGCGAGACGGGCACCACCCTCTTTGGCGTGAGAGTACCATCCCTAGCGAGGCCAAGACTGACCTCAATCTTATTCTGTGACAGCGCAGCAAGCATCTCAAATGCGACGGCCAGAACCCGTGCTCGCGATGCCTGAGCTCCCAGTCCGAGTGCGTTTACGTCGCTTCTCGGCGCGGCTACAAGGGCCCGAGGAGGAATAACACCGCTAATCCGAACAAGAGAGCGCGGTCTTCTTCCCCCACTTCCACCGTAGGTGTCGGCGACAATAGCTGTCCAATGCTACTTGGCGCAAACGGCACTTCAGTCCCCACGACGATGCAGAACGGAATGGCATTTAATACCCCGGGCGTCGTCCTTCCAGACACGCCCAGCACCACCTTTGCCGCGACGCCCAACTTTTCAAACCTGCAGCTCTACCGGTCTTTCGGTGCTGCCATCGGCTTCAACTCGACCCAGCTGGCCCTGGGTCAATCTCAGCCCGGTGTACCTGCGCAAGTCCCCGTGCCTACCTTGGCTGAACGATGTCTCGACTCCTTTTATCACCATTTCCATGCCTCGCACCCATTTGCCTTACCCAAGGAATGGCTGCTCCGTATCATGAGAGACACCAACGTGGAGCCTCTCCTGGCTGCCATTCGGTGGGTTGGAGCTCTCTTCCTCGATGTGGGACCTGCGCGGGCTGGCTTCCTGGATGAGGCCTTGCGTCTGGTCCAAGATCCAACGACTCGGAGGGATGGCTTCTTCGTGCAAGCCCTGATCCTCCTAATCGTAGGCCTCGACGGCAGCTGTGAGCAGGAAAAGGCCCGAAATCTACTTGGTGACGCCGAGCGCATCGCTCTCGAACTTGGACTGAATACCCGTGAGTATGCAACACAGTATGGGCGCGGTATCCCTGTGCTGGAGGAGAGCTGGCGCAGGACGTGGTGGGACTTGTTCGTTGTAGACGGCATGGTAGCTGGTGTACACCGCCAGACCAACTTCCTCCTCTTTGATGTCCCCGCCGATGCCGCCCTCCCGTGTGAGGAGCACCAGTATTTGTCTGGAGTGAGCATTCCTTACTATCCTGTGTGACGGTCAAAGGCTAAGATTCTGAACCAGAGTATTCCGCCGCCCTTGACCCTGACGGACTTGGAAGACCAAGACTTTTCCGGGGACGACAGGCAATTCTCCTCGTTTGCGTATCGCATTCTCGCAGGGCGGAACCTCGGAAAGTTCATGCGCGTGCCACCAATATACGGCCCTGATGATGAGAATCTCTCGCGAATCGAGGCCCTTCTGACCAACTGGAGGCTTCACCTGCCGCTGTCCAAGAAGGACGCCCTGAACCAGAAGCTGCAGTCGGATGAGATGATTTTCCAGGCCAACATGATGACCAATGCGTACGTTTGAACGTCTGTGGTATGTGAGCATTGTTGAACTGACGTGATGTAGGACATCCATCATGCTTCACCAACCCCACTCTCAGCTGGACTCCTCGCCAACACGATCTGTGACATCCTGCGCACCGCACCGACCGGTTCCGTCTGGAGACTTGTTCAACTCGCACACGAACCACACGATTGCGTCGGCTGCCGAGATCAGTAAAATGATTACCCACCGCGTCCCTCTCCTCTCGCACACGCACTTCTTCACCTGCGTGGTGACGCTATCCTCGATCGTCCACTTGAGCAAGTGGGCGCTCTTCTTCATCCCCCATGACGACGACGACCTGCGACAGCAGATTCGGCTCAACATTGGCGCACTCAACAAGCTCTCGGCGGTGTGGAAGGCGGCGGGCAACGCTTCAGGGCAGGTCAAGGGCGTCGCGCAGGAGATTTACCGGTCCAAGAAGGCGTCGCAGATCAACCCGACGTACTGGCAAGGTTTCACGCAGGACGAGGTGATGAACAGCATTGCGGCGGACGAGACGATTATGAACGATATTGAGACTGGGTTGAGCGGGATACCAATGCCGCCTCTCGACAACCTCCCCAGCTAGAGCCCGGGGAGGTTTTTTGTGCGTACGAAGATAGGATTGGATAGCGTGGCGTGATATGTGGCGATTTGTTGATTTGTTGGCGATATATACCAGCTCGAGCTCGGGAGGCGCGCCGAGCAGTGGAGGGCGTTTGAAAGGAGTTCTCCGTGAGAGACAAATCTGTCTTGTTTATATTGGCCTGAACGGCAAATATCTCTGCTCAGAATATACACGCGGCGGCATGGACCGCCATGGAATTTTGAATATGATTCTAATCTATGACCTGGAAAGTACTGGAGCGCTTTTTGGGCTCCAGGATTAATTCCATGATTTGTGAGCAGGATTTTGTCATATTTCGAGCTTCCTGATAGCTCCTCAGCTCGAAAGTCCAATTCCAAAGATCTCTGAGCCCCCAAAAGCCTGTTGTGAAATCTCCAATCGCTAGATCCCACCGTCCCATTGAGATCCGCCACCTCTGAAGATCTAGCCATCGTCAGATTTCAGATCTCGAGTCAGCCAAGACTTGGTTGCCCCCGCTTTGTATGCACACTACTCCAGGCACCAGTTAATATTGTGATAATGCCTGTCCATAACGGAGATGTCGTAGCATTGAAGGATCGTGAAGAGCAAGGGTGGTGGTATCCTACCCCGTTCTTTAAGCTAATCCCCATTCTTCTTTACGACGACGACACATCGCGACGTGGAGTGGCAGACAGCCACACATTCGGACAACCTAAACTCAGCCCTCTGAGGCGGCGTCGAGAAATGAGGCCCCTCCCTGAGATTCTCGATGAAACTCGTCCAATTGCCTCACGTGGCTTGGATGCAGCCACTCTATTTGTATTGTAAAGGTAGCCAGCCGGTGCATGCACACCGTCTGCAGAGTAATACCTAAGCAGGTTGTCTCATTTTGTATGTCTGCGCTGTAATCCGAGTGTGTGCTGTCTCAATGCAAACTAGCGGAGCGCCAATCTAGATACCCGTCGCCACCCTTCTCGGCGTCCACTTAATTACCTACTTTACCCACAGGTTTCCCGTCCGAACTCTGCTCCAGCGCATCTTTCATCTCGGGGACCATTCGATGTTTCCCTATCCCCCGTCCTTGCTTGAGTTTTAGTCTTTTGTTTCCCACGCTTTCCCACGCTATTGAAAGGCTAGAGATTGGACCGTTTTGTTTCTGTGTTACCCTTCGGCTGTCGGCAGGAACCTCGTTTTTGTGTGTATGATTATTCGGTGTCGAGGTAGCACGGGAGAGATGCGGGATGGATGCAAACCGGCTGGCGGCAAGGCGGGAAGGGATGTCGGGGGGACCTACCGGTTGCCACATCTTCAGAGGCTCAGATGAAAGAAGTCCTTCTCCCATTGTAGACGTCTCCCGCCTGCGTGTGAGATGGATACAACATGACATGTCACACCCACTCGGTGCGGCTTGGAGATAACCGGCCCCCACGGCTACCTCCTGCGAGATAGATGAAGTGTCCCCCGTTGTAGGCAGCGTCCAAGGTTCCTTCGGGGATTAATTTCGACGTCATGGCCATGATTTCGCCAAGTGATACCCGCATCGGTCGAGGTTTCCCAAAGGAGCCTTCGTACTTCTGGCGGCGTCGAACCCTTGCCGAACATACCGGTCCACCCTGCCCAGGCAACCTCTTTCGAGATTTCAACGGGGCTCTTGTAAGTGGAATCACATCTACCTATTGTGTTGTAAATGCAGTACAGTAAACAATAAACGTGCCTGGATGTTTATGTGGGCAAGGTACGGCAGCTGCACCCGTCGTTGCGCTGCATGGCTGTTCCAACCACAAGGTCTCTTATTGTGTAAGGTACCATCAACGCGTGTTGGCGCTGCACCCTTACCTCGGCGCATTTCTTTTTTTTTTCACTCCCCCTTCTTTGGCTTATGGAACAGAGCCGGGGTATCTGTGGGTGTGGCATGGGAGCTAGAAGAGACGTCTTACATGATGGTCGCCGATTACTAGTGCGGCAGGAATGAAGCCTATCGTCTGGTTCAGCCTCAAACGGCCTGGCCGTACCCCGGTCTCCCGTTGCTTACCTACCCACACCCTAGGTATCCGTACGCCATACCTTGCAACATGGAAGCAACACAAGCAGTGGATGCGGCGGCACAGCCGTCCCTGGCGAGCCGAGTAGGCTACATCTCTGGGCGGATGTCGGTTCCCCAGATAAGGATTTTGAAGGAGGAAGGAAGGGGTGGAGGGGAAGGATCGGATCTCATATAACGCTTGCCTTCCTTCCTCCTTGTTTGACCGGTTGTATCATAGTTTTGTTTCATTATTACTCTGATATCTCAAGATTTTCTCACATTGTGGTGAATTGGACATTGGAGTTACACGCACTTCCCCCCCTTTGGATTCCGTGTTTGAGAATCGACTTACAACAGTTTCTCGGTGAAACATCACCAAGAAAGAAACAAGGACAGAACACCATGACGATTCGAGATAGCGACGCCTCGGGTGCGAAGAAGGAGCACGCCAACATGACACATGGCGACAACAACAGCTTCTTCGAGCACGACGTCGAGATGATGGGATCCGTAGACGCCCATCTGCTCAACACCACTGTCCAGAACATCTCGTGGGAGGGCACCGAGGTCACTGTCAAGGACAGGGTGACGAAGCAGCCCAAGAAGATTGTCGACCATGTCAACGGGATCGTGGAGGCGGGTACGTCTTGCAATTCCTTGTACTCTACTCACATGTCACATACCATACTCACACAACCTACTTTCCAGGCGAGATCTGCGCCCTCATGGGCCCCTCTGGCTGCGGCAAGACAACCCTCCTCAACGTTCTCGCAGGTCGCCCAACAAACGCTTCCTCGGTATCCGGCTCCGTCCTCGTCAACGGCGCGAAGCCCTCGCGCTCTCAGTTCCGCCAGATGAGCTGCTTCGTCGAGCAGGAGGACGCCCTCATCGGCTCCCTTACCGTCCGCGAGACTCTCTTGTTCACCTCGCGCCTCTCCAGCACCTCCTCGCTGCCCGCCAGCGAGCGCCTCGCGCGCATCGACGGCTTGCTTAACGCTTTCGGCCTCAACGAGCAGGCCAACACCATCATTGGCACGCCGATCCGCAAGGGCATCTCGGGCGGGCAGAAGAGGCGTGTTGGCGTGGCGAGCCAGCTTATCACGAGTCCGAAGATTATGTTTCTAGACGAGCCGACGAGCGGGTTGGATTCTGCGGCGAGCTTTGAGGTGATTAGTTACCTCAAGACTGTGGCCAAGCGGAGCAATGTAAGTCGAGTCGTCTGCCTCCTAACTTGGCTTCTACGAAAACCCTGAATCCTGACACACCGACAGCTCATCGTCATCGCCTCCATCCACCAACCCTCCACCTCAACCTTCAACCTCTTTGACAAGCTCCTCCTCCTCTCCGCCGGCAAGACGCACTACTTTGGCCCCGTCGACAACGTCGTCCCCTACTACGAGTCCCTCGGCATGCCCATCCCCACACAGGTGAACCCGGCCGAGCACGTGCTCGAGATGGTCAACACGGATTTCGTCAAAGACAAGCGCCAGGCGGCGCAGAGGCTCGAGGCGATGCACGAGGGCTGGGAGGAGTCGCGTCCGGCCAAGGAGCTGCGGGCCGCCATCGCCGACGCCGAGAAGAATAGCACCGCTTTCGAGGACGACCAGGCGGAGAAGAAGCCCGGCTTGCCGAGTCTCGCGCTGACGTTGCTGCATCGGAGCTTCATCAAGAGTTATCGGGATGTTGTGGCGTACGGGATCCGGTTTGCCATGTACACTGGTGAGTTGCCATCTAGTTTGTGTGATTGTAAAGGAGGTGTGCTGACTAGATCTAGGTCTGGCTATCATGATGGGTACGGTCTGGCTTCGCCTTTCGACTGACCAAGAGTCCATTATCCCCTTGACCAATGCCATTGTAAGTACCCCTATAGTCCATATCAACTCTGATTCCCGGGCTTTACTGACCATCATACTAGTTCTTTGGCGGTGCCTTCATGAGCTTCATGGCAGTCGCCGCAGTCCCAAGCGTACGCAAACTCCCCTGCACTTTCGTATAACAGCAACTAACAAGAGCGGACGACAGTTCCTCGAAGACCGCGACCAATACGTGAAGGAGCACCAAAACGGCCTCTACGGCCCAACAGCCCTCCTCATCTCAAACTTCTTCATCGGCATCCCCTACCTCTTCCTCATCGCCCTCATCTTCTCCGTAATCTCCTACTGGCTCTCCAACTTCCGCCCCTCAGCCACGGCCTTCTTCGTCTGGGTCCTCTGGCTCTTCCTCGACCTGCTCGCCGCCGAGTCCCTCGTCGTCTTCTTCGTCTCCCTCTTCCCCAGCTTCGTCATCAGCCTTGCCCTCGTGGCTTTCGCAAACGGCCTCTGGATGAGCGTAAACGGCTTCATGGTCTCTCCCACCATTCTCAACTCGTTCTACAAATATGTTTTCCACTACTGGGACTACCAAAAGTATGTCTTTGAGGGCATGATGCACAACGAGTTTGGGCACCGCACGTATACCTGCGGGAAAGGGTGCCAGTGCATGTACCAGACCCCGCTGGCGAGCGAGTGCAAGATTGCCGGGCAGGGCGTGCTCGATACGTACGGGTACACGGAGAACCACTTTGGCAGGGACGTGGGCATCATGCTCTGCATCGTCATCGGATACCGCATCGCGGCGTGGATCGTGTTGAAGATCAAGAAGAACTGAGAAGGATGCCCACGCCGCTGGTCGGTTATCTCATGCCTCGTACAAGTGGTGTAAGGTCGGGAAGTGTATAACTGGGGTTCAAGTCTGTCTGTCTTTTCCGCTGGTATAGTTGATCTTACACGGCTTGCAAAAGCCTGGTCCTATAATGTTTCTCTATGTCGGTCTTTAGATGAAGGGGGGGGGGGGGCGTAATAATTTGTTTGTAGGGGTCATGGCGTCCATTTGGTTTAGACGGTTTGTATCACTTAATTTGCAAGTCTCAATAATTGAAAATAAAATACAAAAAAATCCTTCGGGACAGTGGCAAAGGAGTGAGTCAACTGAGAACGAACACACATACAGTATGGATATCGTGAGGTAAAAACAAATATGATTGGTATCAGACGTCGCAAACGGAAACATTGCCGTCCCTCCATGTACAACTCAACGCTAGGACCCAACATCAAAACACCAACTCGCTTCTTCCCAGTCAATCGAGCTCCCAACTTTTTAAAGACCACCAGCTTCTGGTAACATACATAGTCGACAGAGGTTGCCGTCCGGGCATTTACAAACATCGTACAACACCATCACCACCACCACTTTCTCATCTTACATTATAGCTAGAGCTGGGCCCCGACCGGCCCACGCCCTTCTCCTTCTGCCACGTCGTCCACTTGCTCTTCCCATCGTACTGCGAGAACCTGTTCCCAATCGCGTCCGAGACCGTCATCGTGGGCACGAGTTTCGCGTCCGAATGGTACGGCAACACGCTGCGCTCCTTTTTGGCCTTAGGCGGCTTGGGCGTCATCATCTTCTCCTCCTGCGCCTTGAGCGCCGTCCTCCTGTCCTTGAGCACCTGGCTCAACTCCGCCTCGCTGCTGGCGATCTGCGCCTTGAGGAGAAAGGTGTCGGCCGTCGTCCTGTCCTCGAGCGTGTCCATAACGGGCGTGCGAGGCGTGTACTCGATGCCGTCAAAGTTGGGCGCGTGAGAGGGGTCGGGCACGATGGCGGGGTCGAGACGGGCTTCGGCGCCCTTGGAGAGCAGCGTGGTGATGTCGAGACTCTCGCCGTGGGGGATCGGTGTCTTGTGGCTCGGCGTGATGCAGTCCATGTCGACCTCCTTGCGGAGGACATGGTCAATGTCAATGGCCGAGAAGTACGCCACCGACTGCGGCAGGTCGTTGATGCCCACTTGCTGGGAGAACATGGCCCTGGTCCAGACGTTGGCTACCTGCAGCGCCATCGCCGCACGGTACTTGTCATGGTTCTTCACGAGGTATCGGATCTCATCGTGGACGGTGATGGCGAGGCGGGCATCGATATTGAACCGCCTAGTGAGATAGTCCATGCTGACGATGAGGAGGTGGAGGTAGTCGACTCCGGATGACTGGACGGCCCAGTTGATGCGCGACGTCAGGTAGCCGTTCTGGTTGATGAATCTGCGCATCAAGGCCTCCGTGATGCCGGCCCCCAGGACGAACGTCCGCGGCCGCTCCTGGGCCGCAAACTCCTCCAGCTTGTTGAACAAGAATGACTCAGTCCCGCCACGCCAGAACGGCCGCTTGCTGAGTACTGATCTGTTGGTTTTGGTACCCTTCGTCGTAGCGTACAGTTTTGACGCAGTCGCGTTTGTCTCCTGCTCGGACAGGTTGGGATTGAACTGTCTCAACAGCTGTCCGGCAAACTTGAGGCCCGCACCGTAGATACGGCCATAGTTGAAGACCTTGGCATCGTTC